TCATGTACTAAGATGGGAAGTAAGATGAATAAAGTTTGTGTGGCAATATATATTGTTTTTATTGCCTATTCCCTGTCATAGTATTTGCAATACTCTGCAGTGCTGTTGGAAAGCAATAAAAAAGGGCAAAAAAAATGGATGCTCCCTCATCTTCCCCTGTGAAGGCTAGTACACAAATGCGTATGCAGGAGGTTGGGATAGATGGTGCAGTCACTTTTCACGTCTGCCATGATCAAAATGCATTTGGCTGTTCTTAAGGTGCCGGGTGAGTGTGGTACTGCTCAAATAGCTCATAAAGTCATCCCCTATATGCCTGTGAAGGTTTTTGCAGGGGATGTTTATCTTTGACTCACTACAATCTAACATCCTCCTTTTCCTCTTATATCCTGCTCTTCTCTTCAAAAGCACCTGGCTTCTCATCAGTGTCATCTTCACCCATCTGTTTTTCAATGTTATTTCTGCCAACAAACTCTACTATCCAGTCGTAGATGCTATTGATCTTATTTTCATGATAGACTACAAGTTCACAGTTGTAAGATGAAACCCATCAGAGCAGACTCTTATTCAAACATCAGGGATTTTCCTGCTTCCTGGCCATAAATTAAGAAGGGATTTAGTTTTCTTTTCGCAGAAGCTTAAAGAAGTTTCTGGCATGTATCAGACCACGACAGCATGACACTCCTTTTCTGAAAAGTTGTACCAAAAAGCCCATCCAACTATTTTCTATTAAAATAGATATAAAATAGAGAGTGATAACAGTAGAGAAGATATTTAGCAGTTTGTATGTGTGGATATTGGCTTATCTGTAAAATAGGAAGACACCTTGAAATGTTTGAATATGTTCCTCTATCCGTTCAAAACAGCAGATAGCTCTTTTTACAGTTTGCTTGGGCCTCATAAAGAAAACCATTTTAAGCAGAAAACTGGATTCTCCTCTTCTTTATACAAGAATCTCAGCTGTAACTGATTCATATTGAGATGTTTTTAACTTATGTAAATGCAAATGTACGGTTTTTTGGGGGGGAGTTTTAAGTAGGGTTTTTTTTTTAATTGAACTTACCACATATGTATACTAAATTAAATGTATTGGGATGATACATTCTGAGATAATATACTGCTCTTCAAGGTATAAAAAGAGTTCACCACATTAATGACTAATTTATTTAAAATATAAAAGTAGTGACAGCTGCAGGTTAACAAAAGTAAACTGTAGTCCTATATACCTCCACACTTGCAGAACATTACGTGATTTTCGATTTGTGGGCTTCTTTCAAGATGTTCCTTATCTGATTGATTTCTTTTCTCAATTCCCAATTCCTATTCCTAATCTTTTGCACAGTCTCCTGGTTTTTCTTAGTTTAGCTTTGCACAAAATCCTGCTCAAATCTCAGCTTCTTTTGAATAAAATAGTAATCTAGATGGCAAATTCAAGAATAATACGAGTGCTGTGTTTTTGCTAGTGCCATGGATAGCCATCCACAAAACTATTATGTACTTAAGTAGAGAGGCCAGGAATTGGATTTCAATCCAGTGAGAGTCAGAACTAACTCCAACGTTGTCAGTGCCAGGATAAGTGAATTTAAAATCAGGTCTTAAGCCTGTGGGAAGGCAATAAAGAAAACTTCAGCATGTGTCTATGTTAACAAAAGAAAGCAAACAGCTACAGGAAAACAGTCTGGTTCCATTGGGGGTACCTAACTTGTGATATTGGTTTGCTTTTGTTGTTCTCATAGCACATCAGTTACACAAATTAAATTAGAAAATTGGATTTCTAAAATACAGTAAGTTTTCAGAATGAACATAAGGATTAGAAAGAAAGCAAGGAGAAAAATGCCTGGCAAGGGAACTATATCAGACGGTACTAGCAGTAGGGTACCGAAGGCCTTGAATAGTTATTAGGAGCCTCGGGGAATACTGTCTCTAATAGCAGAAGTGGATGACTGCAATCACTTATTATGTTCCAGAGATGGGGTGGTCATAAGTGTTTTTACTACAGACCTTACAATAATACAAAGTTCAGTTCATATTCTGAACTGTCATGGGAATTTCTGAATAGTTTTAAATATTTAAGAAAGGTTCATTGAGCATACTCCGTGGTATAGTTACCACCTGTTCTATTGAAAAGTGTAATAGAGGCATCTGTCTATATATTTAATATTCTCACATTTATTTTGGTAAACTCTGTTATTTAATTGAAACCGGAGGGCAAAAAGATGCTAGAAAACCTCCTCATGGGGCATCATGGATACTTGCATTAGCAGTCAACAGCCCAGGGGCAGTGTTAAGAACTACATTTTGTTAATCAGCTGGTCAGTGAAGAGGATTACATACTACAAAGGATTAATGATTGCATAAAAGAAACTAAAGGACAGGAATGAATGACATTACCAGAGAAGTAAGCAACAGACCACTGCTCGAGGGAATTTCAGTCAGCACTTTGTGGAACCCCATTCTATTGATCTAAATTGTTTCTGAGATATTTTATAATAATAAATGGTGCACTTAGAGTCATTTCTATCCCTGATCATGCTTGGTAGGTTTATTCTTATAATTAGGTTAGTTCTAATAAGACTGGGAGGTTAATCAGCAAAATGTGTGTTCTAGAGAATAGATCAATTAAAATTTGTAGAAGTCCATCTGTGAACAATGCTGACAAATTATTGATCTCTTAAATGTTTGGCAGCTTTTTAACCTTTTTTTCCTTTGGTTGTTTAAGGAAGCATTTTATGAAACTCTTTAAAGTCATATTTTGGTGGATAGCACAGAGGTCACCTTTTGCATATCGTAAAATGGGGCATAAAAACTTGTGTAGTTCCTACTGGAGCTTATAAAAATCAATATATATTTTAGTTCCACTAAAAATCTCATTAGTTCATTCTGTTGACTTAAAGTAGCCAACACCTGACAAAATAGTAAATAAGTTTCTGATTCAAGAGAAAAAAGTGTATCATTGACTCCCAAGAGGTTCTTCCATTTCCCACAGGTCCCAATATGTGATAATCTTGCAACCAATCAGTTGATTTTTTTTGCATAATGAACATAAATAGTATGAATCGTGATATAGATAAGTGTCGAGAGATTGTGTTAACCTGAAAATGACTTTTTCACGTACTATTATCTTGTGCCCCCAGCATCAGTTTAGAAGCCTACAAGTCAAATGACTTCTTCAGATGAATGGAGCAAGGGGAAAGTGGGTTGTGACCACAAAAGCTCATGATACTATCTGCATTTTTTGTTAGTCTGTACAGTGCTGTAGAAACCATTCATTGTTTAAGTTTTACCAGTTGCAGACTAACATGGCTGCTCCTTTGAGACGTTTAATACAAGTCAAATGTTTATTTAAAAATAAGATTTTCTGTGATTGTTTTGGAACCAAATCCATTATGTTTCAGTCCTCCCTGGATGTGGTTGGGGGTAGTGCAAGAGCAGTACTGAGCTATTCGTACACTTGCTGAGCAAGCTGAAGGGAGTGCATTGTGCAGGCTAATTGTTAATAAGGATACAGCTCCCAGCATACACTACATAGTCTTGAACACCTGGCTTAGGGAGATATTGTTTTCTCAGGAACTTTGGGCATATTTCTGTCAGTGGCTACCCCAACACACATGCTCTTTTCTCCCAAAGTAGTAATCTAAACCTCTCTGGAGGAGTCATGACTCTTGGAAAAAGGGGTAAGCACCAGAAGAAAAATAATTTACTCCCTGTCTAAAGCTCCTGCTTTACTCAGAGACCAGTTTAAGCTGTCCATAGAGTAGTTAGGCCCTCTGTGCGTAGAGGATAGAAAAATTCATATATAGATTGTACCCAGGTTGTTCCATCTTTCAGGGAATCTCAGGCAGTTTCTTCCAGAGGAAAGTCTCAGGGCCAAAGCTGAATGCCCAAAGGGAGGTGACTTAGAGGTGTGAATGCCGGAATTGCTAAGCATCTGCACTCTCATGAGCTCTACAGCTGGCCCAGATGCTACCCTCAACTGCCCATTTTCTCCTATGTTGCCTCTGATACATGGGAGGAGCACCCATAAGCATCCACAAAGCCACTTGGTGGTTCTTCAAATCCCTGCTTAAAACTCTTCTTTGCTGTGATTTTTGGCAGGGCAGAGGACTTGACAAGGATTAGACTATTGGAGTGCAGAGACAATTGGCTGAACAATGTTGTCGTATTGTTTTCTTAGACTCCCTTTGCATCCATCTGTGCTGTCTTGTCTTAAGCTTAGATTGAGAGTTTTTTGGGGCATGGACTCTGCTTTTCTTCTGTCTGTTCAGTCTCTACCACAATGGGACCTAATCCATAAGTAAGGCTCCTATGAGGGGCTATGATAGTATAAATAAAGTTATGTCTCAGCATGCTTTGGGCTTATCATAAAACCTGGGGTGGGATCTTTAAGGAATGAGGAGGGGATATTTTCAGGATATGACCCAGTCTAATAACACAAGAAAAGTTCTTTGGGGAGGAGGGATTAGGAAATTTGAACTCAAGCGTCTTTTCTCCTGATGTGGAAGGACAGTAGCTTCTTGTTTCCCCTTTTCAGGCTTTACAGGCACAGCCATGGCCCAGGAAACTGGGAAGAGGGATATCTTATAGTGGCACAGAGTGTGCATGTGACACGATTTGGAATCTGTGGTATCTGTTATTGTTTGTATCAGTATTACAGCAAAGGGGAAACAGTAGAATCTAAGGAAACTGAGACCCACACACAAGAAGAGTGAAGCATGAAAAAATTAATCCCTGCAATAGCACTCAGAAGAACATAGTCTCAAAAAATTTATCTTATTTAATTGGGAGGGAGGGGGATTTTTAGTGCCCCATTAAGCAATGGACTTGCAATTAATCTGGTGTGCTTTCTCTGGTGTTCAGCTTTTTCAGAGAGAAAGGAGCCAAGATCATTGGCTGAGCTGTGTAGCTGTCACATTCTCCGTGCTGGCAAGGTGCAGTGGAAGTGAATCGAAGCAGTATTTTAGCTTGCTGTAGCACATCACCAGGAGTGTGCAGAGAACAATGAAGGAAATTAATACTCTGAAGCTAAGTAAGGTACCAAGTCTCTCAGACTAGAGTAAGAAACACTCCAGCAGCAGCAGCAGCAGCAGCAACAAAGTCGGATAGAGAGAAGAACTGATTGCAGGCCATCCATTCCAACTCCTTGTGGGATTGTGCACTATCCAGGGTGCTGAAACATGAACCAAACAGCAACTGTGTCCCATCAAGTCAAGTGTCAGTCATCTAAGCCAATCAAGGTAGGGGCAATGTTTGTTTCTTTTATTCTGCAAGTTTGTAGCATGTCCATTGTAATTCCATATTATTAACACACATTAATTTTGTATGCTGGGTTTGCAACCAAAAGAACATGTTTGTACTGGGTTTGGAAGGAAGGCTGAAACAAAGAAAAGGAAATGTGTATTGTAAGTTGCATAAGGATTTTCATGGTGAACATAATAGGGAGTGTAGTACTACAGGGCCATTTATCATTCATTGGTTTAATCTTAGTGTCTGAGAATCTTGGTATAATGCAGAAAGTTTCTCATACTTGGGGTTAGTTTGCAGAATAATCTGGTCAGTGGTGAAATAAACTGCTGAAGCTATTGAAAAGAGCAAAGCAGCACCATGAAATTACTGTGTAGTTGGCAACTGTATCTGATTTGCCATCTTTTTGAATTCTTTATCTAAAACACAAAAACTCATGTTGCAGCAGTGATATTGAACATTTGTTAATTAACTTATATGAAGATCCAAATCAAGTTTTTAGAGCCATAGAAAAGCCATAGAAATAGTTTGTCAAATCCATAAACATACATCTGTGAAACTTTGTCATGTAGTATCTGCTTAATTGAAAATATGTTGTTGTTGAAGCTATTTCTTGATTTTTTTGATTCTTCATTGCAAGTGGGGGTTGAACACTGTCGTGCAACAAACTAGAGGTGCAGTATAATATTAAGGTTTTATTAATGGCTGTATCATTCATCAACTAATTCCAATTGGCAAAGAACTAATAGTTTATTTCAATTGTTAAACTTACTTGGTTACTACTTTGAATCTTTTCATTGTGCATTGTTACTGCACAGGTGTATCTATTGTAGTTCTGGCACATGATAGACATTTCTTATAGTCCTGTGGAAAGAGCTGTTAGGAATAATCCACTAGATTCTCTGCAATCATCTTTCCTCTACTCTGAGAGAGACTTGTTTTTTATAGAATGGTAAAGTTTTCTGTTAATGTAAGACAACTTATCAGTTAAAGTTCTAGTCTCTGTAATGCAGTAAAAATGATTTCTATAAGTGATTTTTTTCCTGGAATAAAATAAGAAATATCCCTGTATTTTGACTATTTTCTTCAGTTCTGTTCTAATCTACCACAAGAGAAAATTTTACGAGAGTTATTTTGTTTCACAAATTGTGGAAATCTTCAAAAAGTACTATGCAATTCTTATTATTTCACATAATGCAAAACTGTCCAATATTAACCGGGGTGAAAACTAATTGAAGTGACATGTTAAAATCTAGTTCTTTACTTTGTTTAATGGAAAAAGTTGAAATTTATTTATTTTGAAAAGGAATGACTGAAAGACATATATTATTAGAAAATTGTTATAAGCTAGTTTTTCTATAGCTAATTGCTGGAAGTAAAAACCTTAACCTCTTTAGTAACTCAGAAAGGCAGGAATAACAGGTATACATCTTCTACGTCATTTTATCTGCAGGCTACAATTCACAGAGTACAGAGTTTAATGCAAACTGTGTGTATTTCAGGGAGGAGATGGGGATTGACCTGTGTTCTTAATGACTAGTCATGCAATTCATAATGGTATTTGTCAACCATAAATGACCAGTTTTTTTCATGCTCAAATGTTCAAGGTCACAAAAATGATGAATTGCAGTTGCCTTGGCCCACTTCAAAGAGTGCAAGTGTGTATAATATTAAATCACTTCAAATCATTTCATACTCTGCAGGTCTAGTACTGAGAATAAGGGAACAGAGTGTACCATGCGGTAACGGTGCTTGCACTGTAAAGTATTCCTACATTATATTTGATTTAACTGACACTTATTTTTTACTGACAGTAACACATCCTAAATTCATTTGACTGGACTTTTTAAACACAACCAAAAATGTTGATACATGACTTAAAATCAACCCAAACAAGTCAATACTCTTCAAAAAGGAAGAAAATATGATTCAAAATCTCAGACATGCCTTTCTTTCTATAACAAACATAGCTACACCAATACCATAAGTAAAATCATATTTCATTTTTCTGCACATTTATTTAAAGTGTCAGGTGTAAGATGTGCTTTAGAAAAGCCAAGTCAATGGTAACTACATAGAAAGGGAAATGCAGTGTTGAAAAATTAGTAACAAACTTACTGTAGAATGCCCTGTAACTGTAAGCTATAAGTGAAATAAGTAGTTAGTAAGCAATAGAATTCACAGGGAATATTACTAATTATATTTTTACAAGTGGCATGGAAAATAAGTAGTTAGTAAGCAGTAGAATTCACAGGGAATATTACTAATTATATATTTACAAGTGGCATGGAAAATATTGGTAGAAAAATGGTAAAATTTAAGAAGAACATGTAAAGGGATAACTTAACATCTCTTGTTTTGACTATATAATATAGTCTTTAGTTTTCTCTATTTGTGGTATTTATGCTTCTCTCTGACACACAGGCACTTTGCATAATAATAGAAATGTAGCCTTGTTAGTCTGGTCTAGCTGAAACAAAAACAGGACTGTGTAGCACTTTAAAGACTAATAAACCATCTTGTTAGTCTTTAAAGTGCTACATAGTCTGTTTTTTGTTTCAGGCACTTTACATCTGTGCTCTCTCCTTGCTACATTTGATAGAATGGTATCCCCATATGTTTGCTCGGAGTAGGTATTTTTTTGTGCTGCTAGTGCAACCTGAAAGTCTGAATTCACTCACACAAATATACAGAATGACCCATTTGTCCACTAAACTGAATCTTAAACACTTTCTTTTATCCCTGATGTAATTCTTGCCTTGAGTATTAGTTGTAAAACTCCCATTGCATTCTACCCAGTGCAGCAGACTCTATGGCAAACAGTGACATGCTGAATTACTGTGGGTCTTCACATTTTAACCATTGATACGTTCTATAGAGTCAAAATAAGCAATAAAAAGAACAAGGTAAAATAGTTTGAGAGCGAACAGAACACACAGAGATATAATCCTGCCTAGAGCAGGGGGCTGGACTTGATGACCTTCTGAGGTCTTTTCTAGCTCTATGATTCTATGAACAGCTTTTCTCCGAAAAGTTTGATGAAATAGCTGGGAGTTAGTGAGCTAAATACCGGGGCTACTGCAGCTGCAGGTGATCATGAGGAATAGTCAACTTGTGCTTATCTGATTTTTTTCATGCATCAATAAGCTTTTGTTGAATACAGATTCATGAGAGCAGAGTCCTTCTACATCTCTCTTGGGATGTCAATGTGCCTTTAAATGGGTGCAAATCCCAGCTGCACCCACTTTAATATCCCTTATACTGCCAGAGCAGTTTTAGTTTTGTGTATGTGGGAATCAGCTCTAGAACATCCACATGGTTTCAGTGACATATGGCCATGTTAACATATGAAATCCAATTTTGGCAGAAAGTAGAAAAGAACAAAGATATCAGAACCCTTCAGTTGACCTAGGATCAAATGCAAAATGTATTAATAAAAATATTTTATTACCTCAAATTTTTTTTATTGCTTTTCTGAAGTGATTGCAGATCTTACCACCACTCTAGAAGTATTATGAATAAAAATCTTTCTCTCTGAGACTCGTAACAAATATTTTAGGGTCTAGCATTGAATTCTGTCTTATTTCTGTATCATTACAAACTTGATTTGACTGCTCTCTAAGGTAATAATAAAGTTGGGTGTTTTTTTTTGCATTCAGGTTCCATTGTTGTAGTTGCAAGACTGTATGTGTCACCCCTAAAAGACAGATAAGTTTGAATGTCGCAGTGTCTTACCTGAAAGAAGCAGTTTGAAGGCCACATTTTTAAAGGGCCTTCTCTCAGTCCTCTAGAACTGGGTATGCAGTTTTTCCAACACAAAAAGTGGGATGTATACAGGAAAACTGCTTCTTCACATCAAAGCAAGGATCTGATCCTGCAGACTCTTAAATGCACAAATCTTCATTACTCAAGTGAGTAGTGACTTTGTTGATAAAGTTCATATGAGTAAAGATTGTTTGCTTTGGTAATAGTTTGCAGATTTGAGATCTAGGTAGTTAGATGCTTAAATAAATAATTTGTGTTGTCAAGATTTTTTTTCACCTCACACATGCAAAAATAATTGCACCTGCCACTGTATAGGATGTTTAGAAAACTAATCTCCTATATTCCTTGTAAACAAATAATTGCATTGTTGAAAACATTATGCTTCAGTTGAAAGGCCAGGTTCCCAGCAGATAATCTGAATAATGGTTCCATTATGAATTGTCCTGGATAAAATGTAACAACAATCTCACACATCACTAATAGAAAATATGGCAAAAGACCACCTTAACTTTAGATCTTGCATGATCTAAAAATAAAAAAGGAGTCATATAAAATTGGAAAGTAGGAAAATTACAAAGAATGAATATAGGCAAACAACACAGGAATGCAGGGGCAAGATTAGAAAGGCAAAGGCACAAAATGAGCTTAAACTAGCTATGGGAATAAAGGGAAACAAGAAGACTTTTTATAAATACATTAGAAGCAAGAGGAAGACCAAGGACAGGGTAGGCCCACTGGTCAGTGAGGAGGGAGAAACAGTAACAGGAAACTTGGAAATGGCAGAGACGCTTAATGACTTCTTTGTTTCGGTCTTCATTGAGACGTCTGAAGGAATGCCTAATATAGTGAATGCTAGTGGGAAGGGGGTAGGTTTAGAAAATAAAATAAAAAAAGAACAAGTTAAAAATCACCTAGAAAAGTTAGATGCCTGCAAGTCACCAGGGCCTGATGAAATGCATCTTAGAATACTCAAAGAGCTGAGAGAGGAGGTATCTGAGCCTCTAGCTATCATCTTTGGAAAGGGCAAATATAGTGCCCATTTATAAAAAGGGAAATAAAAACAACCCAGTAAACTACAGACCAGTTAGTTTAACTTCTGTGCCAGGGAAGATAATGGAGCAAGTAATTAAGGAAATCATCTGTAAACACTTGGAAGGTGGCAAGGTGATAGGGAACAGCCAGCATGGATCTGTAAAGAAAAAATCATATCAAACCAATCTGATTTCTT